AAAAAAAGTGTGGAGGCCATTATAGAAAATGGAGTCCAGGAAACCAGAGCAGCACTAGGGGGAATTGAAAATGTCCCCAAGGCCCTAAACCCATCCCAAGGAAATGTTAATGAAGCAGCTCCCAGCAAACAAGGRGATGCTAATCCAAAAGCCCTCCCTGCACAGATCACTCCTTGGCCCMCCCTTTGGGCCTTSACTGAAAGRTAACAGAACAAAGGRCAGKRAAGCTGAAAGARGACCTTAGCTATAAAAAGGGGAAGACRTCTGCCTTCSCGGATTCCACCTCTTGGTCCCCTTCTTCTTCCGGGGAGAAGTCTTTTCTACTGTCCTTTAATAAACTTCTACTTTCCACTCTAAACTTGCCTCGGGGTGCTTCTCTGGTGTTATACTTCAACACTGAGGCAAACAGCAGTAACAAAGGTATGCATGAAACCTGAACKGATCCAATCAGATTTTTCTAGGGAATTTTTGGCCCAAGATATTCTCTTATGACCTGGATGGTATAGACTGTGGGTATGAGACATGAATTTTTAACAACAAAGGAAGTTAGCCCAAAGATGAAGTTGACTTACAGAGGAAACTAGAATAGTGAAAAACCAGCCTCTATCTCAGAGCAAAGCCTGTCCAAGTGAAAGGGTAAAATTTCTAAGCTGCAAGGCCTGAGTTAAAAAGTGAAGGACCAGGTATTGTTAAATTCCTCTGCTACACCCAAACCCTGAAATTCCTGTAGYTGTTAGGACAAAACTGCCCAGTAAATATTCCCCCTGACCCTCTGGTTGTTTAATAACCTAGGCACATAGGCATTCAGGGCCCAAACCAATCAGTTTGAATGTGTACCCCGCTTAGGAGTGACCAATCACCCCTGCCCGACCTGTTCCCGCCAATGAATGTACTAATCAAGTTTAAGAATTATTGTTCAGTTTTCCCACGCCTCATGATGATTTGTTCTGATGTATGTAAAGCCCCAGCCCTCCCCAAAAAGTGTACTTAAGCACTGCTTCACCTCTGCTCTGGGCTCTGGGCTGTTCTCCCTTCTTGAGTGAGCACGGAGCCCCAGTGCGCTGGATTGGATCCTCAATAAACCCCTTCTGCTGATTGCATGAGTCAGTCTCTTGGTGGTCTCTACCTCCAACATTCTCAGGACCCTTACACAAGGAAGGGACATGACCTTTGTCCTTGGAAAGATCCACAGAGCACTCCTAGGCACATTCCCACCCTGCTAAGTTGTTTAKCTACAAATAACAGGAGAGATCTGCTGCTCCAGGTGTCCCTGACTCAGTCAGGCTAGGTGGGGACCCAAAGCAACCCCCTAGCAGCCACCAATCAGCATGAGACAAGGAAATACCTGGATGCCACATGACCCTCTCAGTAGTTTATGGTGGTTGGGAAACCATGTAGTTCAGCATGAACACCCCTCTTGGCTTAAACCAATCAGTTCAAATGAATACCCCCTTTGTACTGACCAATCACCCCTACCCAACTTGTTCCCACCAATGAATGTGCTAATCATGTTTTAGAGTTGTTATTTGATTTTCTCTGCGGTGTGTGATGATTTGCTAAGAGATACTATGATGTATGTGGGGGGTCCCTGTCTTCTCCAAAGAATGTATAAAACTGCTGTAAACCCTGGGCTCGGGGCCTCTCAGCGTCACCAGTTGCTGTGTGTGCTCGCGGAGGACTGAGCTAGCTCGCAATAAACACCTCTTTGCTGTTTACATCGACCTTGGTCTCTGGTGGTCTTTTGGGGGTCCCGAATTYGAGGATAACAATAGAAGGTCATAGAGAAGCAGAGTTGGAATCCTAATCAAACTATGCCTGAAGGCTATCCTACTCTGGCCATAAGAATCAGCCAATGAGAAGTGTATTGTCTAAGCCAGTTTGAACTATATTTCCCATTACTTGCTGTCAAGAGCATCCTGATGATAAGCCAGAGAGGTGGAAGGGGCGATGGAGAGGCCCTCAGCTGATGAGACAGATGAGGTGTGGAGACAGGCATGACAGATGTTATTGCCTTACAATGGCCCCAAGAGCATGTGCACTGTGATCTGCACATGGAGTAGCTAACAGGAAGGGTGGCATATTGCCCTAGGGCTCAATGTGGGCTTCAAACTCCACCTCCAGATAGGTCTGGATAGATATTTCATATTTCACCTCCAGATAGGCCTAGTCCAAGCCTGATAGCTTGGACCCAAGAATGTGGTGATCTCCAGGCCAGAGGGCTGGCTTCTCCATGGAGTTTAGGGGTGTTGKAATGATCCTGGCCTGGTCCAGTGCACTCTTGGCCCTGGAGGATACCAGCCTTCCACCAGCCCCCATGGTTTATTCTCCTGGTCCTGGTGGTACAAGCCTGTACCCACTGTACTTGCCCCACTCACTTGTCTTGGCTTGGCCATTGTGGGGACTGGCTCAGGTACCGGAATGGCCCGGGGCCTGGGTGTAGTCAGGTTGAATTCCTTGGGCTCTGTGACCTTGGCCTTGGTCTTGAAGATAGCAGTTTGACTAGCTGACACTCCCTCCAGTTGATCAAGAAGCTCCTGGATCTCTGGCTGCCATCTTGAAGGCAAAAGTGGAGTCCCTGGGTCAACAAGGTGGCCCTGGAATCTGGAGGACCCCCAAGCACTGGGGTTTCCAATAGGCTGAGTGGTGAGGGGCCAAAAGCCCTTCTACTTGTCTCAGACACAGTCTAGGCATACCCCCATGATTTGGTATCAGCACTCCCTTTGCAAGATGAAAAAACAGCCCCAGAGGCACTGATAGGAGGGCATCTGGACCAGGGACATCCCACAGTAGGAAGCTGGGAGGCTCTGCGGACAAGTGGCAGGCAGGACCTAGAGGGAGCTAATCTGGGACAGAGCAGATGGCACAGATGGAGGAAGTCAGGAGCTAGGAAAGGAAGCTGGCAGTGGAAAACGAACATTCCAGAGTGGCTCTTTCGTGACAGGTGGAGGGAGCTGCAGGAGTCATGTGGGGCTAGGGCCATATCCCCTGCAGGGAGCCCAACTGTCCTCCACGCAGCCTTGGGAGTGGGTGCTCTGGAGAGGGTGTGGAGTTCTGTTGGGCTGCCCCAAGGTCTGGGCCACCCCTTTCTGTGTTCCACATCCCATGGGCACAGCCTGTGCAGGGTCCTCTCCTGTGGGGCTCTCTGGGAGCAGATGGGGGGCTTGAAGTAGTGCCTGCCTCACCCTGAGAATCAAGGCCGCCTTGGGAGGAAGGCTCCTGAAAGGGGTGACAGCAGGGCTCAGCCCATGACCCTTGACCGTCAACCTTGGAGCAGGAAGTTTGTGATGGGGCTGGCCCCAGAGTGGGCTGGGGAAGCCTGCAGGCAGTGGGGAAACCAGAGGGACGTCCTCCTGCTTGTGGAGGTCTGTTCTGATGGCCAGCAGCAGGGGCCAGCTGGGGCTGGGGAGCTCCCTTGCTGAAGAAGTGATCCTGGGGTCTCCCACAGCTGGGGCCAGGGCCTCCTACACATAGCTCCCATATACGATGGTCTGCCTGCACCAGAACAGTCCATCTGGCTGACCAGAGGAAGCAAGGTGACCCGTCCCCAGGCTTTCCCTGGGGAACCCCAGCTGTGTCCTGGTCCCAGTGGGAACTCCCATGGGGGAGCAACTACGCTGACCGTTTTGCCTCAGGTCCTGGCCTGTGACTGCTTTTGCCCCAGGTCTCCTGTGGAGGCAGGGAAGGTGGCAAGAGCAGCTTTGTGGTGGCAGGCCTGAGAGTGGGGCTCGGGGRACACCAGAGAGAGATTTAGGCCTTACTGCATTAGGAGCTGAGCTCTGAGCTCCCCCAGCTCCTCCCTGGCCTATACTCTTGGGATCTGCAGAAAGCCCTGATGGACTGGGGACACGTGGGTGGGCTCCAGAGCAGAAAGCAGATTCTTGCCATCTGACCTCTGGCCATCAGTTGGCTTCCAGCATGGAGGGCCCTGGGTCAGCTGGCTGCAGAACGCCTGTTTCCCAGTCCCAGGCAGGGGAGCAGAGGGCTTGGGGCTTCTTGGAACCTCTCACCCTAACACAGAGCACTTTCTGACTCATGGAACTTCTCAGGGCAGGAAGGGGATGAGGAGGCCCCTGGCCATGAGGCACCTGGAGTGGGGACAGGGTATTTCCATGCACACCAATACCCACACAGCTGCCTCACCTCATTAGGGGGTTGATCCAGTTCTCCTTTACATGGGCGGTCTCGTAGACGAGGCTCCATTCGTCCTTGATCCAAGAGCATAGGTTTAAGGGGTTGAAAAAGAACCTGAGGAACTGAGGGAAGAGGGAGTCCTAAGGGGTGGGGCCACTAGGGGCGGAGTCTTGGCCTCCACCCCCACCCCCCACGGGCACCCCAGCACCCTCACCTGCCAGCAGCAGGCAGAGTGTGATGCTCAGGGTCACATGGCACTGCAGGTGGCTAAAGAGACTGTGCCCTCAAGGCAGACCCTGGTCCTGGTAGGGTCCCAGGTAGGGAAGGGGCTCCAGCTCTGTGACTGTCCCAACCCAGCAAGGCGCATTCTCTCCAGAATGGGCTTGTGTGCCCATCAGCTCCTAGGACCCCAAAGGCCCCACAACCCACTTCTGAGTAGGTGGTTGGTGGCACACATGGAAAGCTGTCTGCCTTCCAGCCCCTGGCTCCAAAGGCTCTGGACTTCCGGGAGTGGGATTCTGCCATTCTGCCTTACCCTCTCCCCAGGGCATTACCACTGGGTGACCTGGAGAGCCCTCTGCCTGCCCACCTTGGGGAGGTGACTTGTCTCCCCAGACCCTTGTAGCGGGAGGCTGGTCCCAACTGTGGGACTTCGGCTGTTTTCCCTGGCCAGGGCAGGCTCTGCTATGCCCTTGGATGGCCCAGAACCAGCCTTGGAAGAATTCCCAGGGTCTGGGGATTCTGAAGGCCATTCCCCAGCTCCTGGTTCCCAGGTCCAGCTTTGATTCCAGAGGACATAGGACTGGTTTAGTTTCTGGGGTGGAGCCGCCTGGGGAGCTGCATGGCTCCTACACAGGACAGACTGTCAGCTGGCCAAGAAGGGCCAAGGTGGCCCTTGGTACTGCTGGGAAGAAGGTGTAGGCCCATCCTTTCCTGAGGGGCAGCCAGCCTGGGACCCCTGGAGGCCGTTCTGTGGGGTGTGCAAGTCGTTGACACCCCGCCTCCAGCTCAGGGCCTTATGCAGGTGAGCTGAGCACTGGAGACCACTCAGTAAAGGTTCCCAGAAAACCAGCCAGGAGGACAGCCCAGGGCCCCAGGGCTATCACAGGGGCCACTGTGTGGCCCAGAAGAGCTCTGCGGTGACCAGAACACATGGTGCCCCAGTGTGGGTCTRCAAAGTGCAGTCCGGGCCTTGGGAGCAGGAAGCTTATTGGGGAGGTAGCCCAGGAAATTCAAGGGTGACAGAGGGACAGCAGTGAGCAAGGCTGTAGGTACACTGCTGCCTCCCCAGCAGGAGCCCCAGCACAGCCACCTCCCCTCACCAGCCTCCTGCCCTGCTTGGCTCAGGCCTTCTCCACACAGAGGCAACCCAAGATCCTCCCGAGCCCTCCAGCTGCCCCTCTTGGTCATCTGCCCACCCCATCACTCACACTAGTGGCCTCCTTCACCTACCCTGCCTGCAGGGCCGCTGGGCCTTTGCCTGTGGCCACTGCCCCTCACACTCTCGATTCTTCTTCTGGCTGTTAGTCATGATGCTACTCTACACCCAAAGGGGGCAGTTGGCCCCTGCACTGGGCCCCTGTGGTGGTCATCTCCTCCCTGCTGGCCTGCCTCCATTTGGGCACACCCTATTGGTCCCATCCAGGCTTCCTGGGACTGTCCCCCCACGGGCCACCACTCTCACTGGGCCCCTGCTGGGGCGGGGCTGGTTTTGGTGTGTCTGAGGCAGTCCTCTAGCTTCAGGTGGATTCAGTCAGCATGTGGGGAGGGGCTGGCAGGAACATTGGCCCCCTCCCGAGCATCCCAAGGCCACTCCTCCCAGAAGTGGAGGGTAACATCTGGGGAGGCCATGGGCTGTGGTCTCCTGAGAGCCAGCCTGGGCACACTACCACTTCTGACCACAGCAGTGATGGCATTCCAGAGGGGTCATCCTGTGTTTTAGGCCCCTTTGGTGTCTTCCTGGGGCCCTGAGGTGGCTAGGGGGGCCAGGCATCAGCCAAGGGCGACCGCTCGATCTGTAGCTTCTTGGTCCCCTGGGAATCCACATGGGGCTGTCTGGGCTGGTCAGTGACCAGCACCAGGAGTGTGATGTGTGGCCTGCACTGGTGCCCCTGCTGTCACCACCACAGGGCCCAGGGCCAGATAAGGATGGACCTTGCTTGGCATCACCAGGGTCCAGCATGGGCAGTAGACATCAGCCAAGCACAGGTCCTCTAGCTGGGCAAGCTGCCCTGGCAAGCCTCAAGCGTTTCTCGGAAAATAGTCCCTTCATAAAAATGAAACCCCTTGCTTAGGAAAACTACAAATATTTATTCATCATAAGCTCCTCGTGTTTACATGTGAGCAGGAAAATGTCCTGGACAGACCAAATGCCAGCTGCTGCCCCTCATTTCTCCTTCACCAGTTAGATAGTCAAGATGGCGTGTGAGCAGGTATTCTGGGTCACTGTGGCTGTGGATCTTGTGGGCGATGCTGCTCCAGWCTCCCCTTCCCCAGCACTCCTGGTCCTGTAGCCTCTCCCTCAGTCTTCTCCAGGAAGCCATTCCCATGCCAGTGACCAAGCCAGTGGCTAACAGAATGTGCTCACTACTCATGTGCTGTGTGACACCAGTTGAACACTTAACCTCTCTGTCCCCACTGCCTTAAGTGAGGGATGAGCACCATGTAGGAGCAGCCTCATAGGATGGTGTGAGGGTGAAGCAAGAACAACACTGTGGGCTGCTCAGGAAGCCTGGCCCACAGGGAAGGTGCACTGAGTGTCCTATAGAAACGTGGGCAGTGGACAGGCAGGCAGGCAGCAGGCACCTGGGATCCCTTCTGGCAGCAGCAGTATGTGGTCTTGGAGGGAGGGGAGGCTGTGTAGGGCCTAGCGTTTGCTCAGGAGGTGGAGAAGCCCCAGGAGGCTCCAGAGGCCCAGCTGACCCCAGGGCTTCTCCTAACAGTGCAAGGTACCACCCACCAGAACACAGGAGCACAATCAAATCTTCCTGCAGCAATGAGCCCATTCTCCCCAGAAGTGACCAGAACAACCCACCAGAGTTCCTCTCATTGAAAAAAACCTGGAGGTGCTCCCAGGGGACCAGCGGCCTCCCTTGGCAGCAGCCACCCTGGGGCTTACCTTGCAGGTCTTGCGTGWGGGCTGGGACTTGATGATGCTGCAGAAGAGCTGGAAGCCGAGCTCATCCAGCTGGAACGTGGCCAGGTAGCACAGCACTGTAGAGGGAGTGCAGCCTGAGGGTGCGGCTGCAGAATCGCCAGAGGGAGGCCTCCCAGGCACACCCTGCCCACCCCGCCCAGGACACACACCCAGCTCYTGCTGAAGGTCCCAGGATGGACATCCCCAGACAACAAGGAGCTAGGTCTTAGAGCGGCCGTGGTTTGCCGCCACTGTGTTGTCCCATTTGATCAGTACTCAGAGGTTCCTCTGAGGGACAGATGGTGTCACCCGACCCTGCAGCCTCCCCCACTGCCTCCCACCAGGACTGGGCAGCCCCCACCCCTCCCTGGGTATGCACAAGGGCCAGCCTGCACCAGGAAAGGCAGAGGCCAGAGGTGTCTGTGTTTAATGACTCAGCGAGGTCCAGACTGTGGCCTAGGGCCTGCTCCAAGGCCTCAGGGTCAGGGGTCAGGAGTGGCCCAGGAAAGGCGCCAGGCTTGCCCAGTCACCTTCCCTCAGGGGGGCCAGACTCCTCTGACCCTGTCGTGAGCCTGAATCTCAGCGTCCCCATCTATGAAGTGAGGTGTCACGCCACCCTGGTCCACCCTCTCACAGGTCACCATGAGTCTCAGTGAGGACACAGGTTTTGGTGKAACTGCAGCAGGAGCCTCTGCAGCCTGAAGAGCAGCCCCTGGCTCCCTTGGTGGCTCTGCTGAGGTCTGACCACCCCTTCAGCCCCTGGTTCTGGAGTGGCAGCAGCCTGGGGCTTAGGGACAGGTGGGATGGGCACCCACCCTGGAAGAGGCTGTAGTCAGCCCAGAGGCAGAGTCGGCCATCCCGGACGTAGAAGGCGTCTACCACGATGGTCAGCAACTTCCAGTATTCAAGACAGCCGGACAGGACCTCCATCACGAACGCCTGCTTCAGCGGGCTCAGGGCCTGGAGGGCAAACAGCCAGGCGGGCAGCAGCTGGGGGGGGGCGAGGCAGGGCAGGGCTGAGGTAGACTAGGGGAATGACAAGCCCAGGGGACCTCCCTCACTGAGGACAGGGAGGTCCAGAGTCAGGCAGGATGGTGGCTTCATGGCACCTGCATATGCCCAGTGCCCCTGGACGGGAYGTTTGTGTCTTGTGCATCTTACCACAGTAACTTAGCAAGTGGGCTCAGGCCAGGTCCCAGACACAGGGATGAAGACAACAGGTGAGGGGAGTGCCAGCAGGAAAGCCTGCAAGACCAGTGGGTCCCCACATAGCCCCAGGGCCACTCTCCCATTCGCCCTTGGAACATTCTGGGTTGTGGCCTGTGCAGGACACGCGTTAATTATTCAATAAGAAAAGAAGGTTTTCAAATTAAGTTCTGAGAAGTTCTTCAGTTTTTGAAGGTGGCAGGAAATTGTGGGRMGCCATTCTCACACGTGATCGGGTGCCTCCCGTTGAGGGTCTGAGGCACTTTGGCATAAGTCGGAGTTTTTCCCGTCCCTCTCCTGATGAGAGAGCCCATCCGTGTGGGGGTGTGCCTGACCACTGACCCCGGGGACCCAATCGCTGACCCTGACCTTGGAGTGCAGCCCCCCCTCAACCTTCATTGGATGGAATTCTCCCCTGAATCTCTGGTTCCCTAATAAAAGGCTACTCCCCGGCGTGCTCGCTCTCTCTCTCCTGCTAGCCCTGAGTAATCCTTGCTGCCCTGCTGGGCGGCTAGAGGAGCGAACCAGAGAGGGGAGCCGTCTCGGACCTAGCAATAGAATTAAGGTAATTGAGTCTTGTGTTTTTATTTCGATCTCGTCTAACTAACTTTATGCCTAGAACCTCATTAATGAAACCACTGCGCAGGCCGCRTGGTAGAGGAAATGAAGGGTCTGACGTCTCCAGCCAGCCCGGGAAGGGCTGGTGCGGACGGATGCTTAGCCTTTCCCCAAACAGTTCAGAAATGGGTTGAGAGAGTCTTGTTTTCCAGAACTTTCAGCTCAATGAGGGCGTTTCCAGGAATCTAAGGAGGCCGTCCACAGGCACACAGGTGCGTCCAGAGCCATGCACTGTAGACGTGGAAATGGGACTAGCCAGACTTTAGCCTCTCCAGGCCCGGGGGTGAGGCGTGGAGAGACAAGGGGACAAATCCCTGCAGTTGGCATGCGCTACTTTGGTAACAACTTCAAAATTACTGCCAGGCTTTGCTCCAGCCGGTTCCTTCTTTCAGCAGGCCCTGCAGCCTCAAAACCTTGCRGAAGAGCTGAGCCCAGGAGGCCTCAGAGCCGCAGCAGAGCCAGAGCCCGACACTGTGGCTCACGGCTGTTACCCAGGATGAGCTTTCTTTTACTACTTTTTTTTCTTTTGTGGTGCTGGGATGGCCCCCRGGGCCTGGACAAGTCATCTCTGCTTGCTTCAGTTCCCACTGCCCGTCTCCCTGAGGACAGGCTGAGCCTCTGGTGTCCCAGACACAGGAATGAAGACCCTCCTCTTCCTCATTCAACAGAGGCAGCAGATGCCCTGGGAGGTTATCAATTGTCCCCTCTAGTTACAAGGCCACTGGACACACCTGTGAGTACAGGCAGGGCTGCTGAGCTGGCTCTCATTTCAGCCACCAGCCTCTGTCCCCCTCCCCTCCGGCTTCCCTGACTGCAGGCTGCACCCACACCAGAGGGCATCATCCCTGCTGGGTCCCAGGAAGCCCAGGTCCTGGGCCTAGGAGTCAGAGGGTGATGAGTCATCTGTGCTGAGGCCTGGGTGACTCTCAGGACTCTGGACAACTTCTTCTGGTCTCTGGGGCTAAGACAATAGGGATTCTTTCCCTCATTAGTTACGAGTGTGTTCAGGATGTGTGACAATGTCTTTTTAATAAGAGCAGGTGTAGGCTCTGACACCATCAGCCCTGGGCAAAGTAGGCYTGGCAGAGAGGCATCGGGCAGAGGACCTTGCAGATGCAGGGCTAAGTGGGATGAGGCAGTGCCAGTAAATGGCACCTGGGTCCATGTGCCAGGCTTGGCCAGAGGCCAGGTCCTTGCAACTGGGGAAGGACAACCATGCTGGGCTTGCAGCTTCCAGGACAATGGTGTCCAGTGGTTCACAGAGACAGACTGATCCTGGAACTGGGAATGGGGTGAGAGGTTGCTGAGCACTCAGCCCTGGCCCGGGTTCTGGGTCTGGACAGGTAGGCTCCCTTGCCCAGGAGTCAGGGCAAGGCCTCAACTGCACTAAAGAGGTCTTGATTCCCAGCCAGGCTGTCACTGAGACCATGAGACATGGGTTGTGGCCACCAAAATTTTGGGCTTTGGTAAGTCCCCACCCAGGGAAATCAGTCAGCAATGACAGCAGTCCCAAGGGCAGGGGAACCAGAGGTCCAGATCCCTGCAGCTTCACAGTCACCAGGCCTCCTGTAGGAGTCACTCTGGGTCTGTGCAGCTAGCCCAGGGCCAGGCAGGACAGGGCCTGGTGCTAATCAACCACAGCTCAGGACTTGCAAGCCCTTTTACCAAGACCTGTCAGTCAGAGATGCAGACTGAGGCAGGTCAGGAGCCAAGGCAAAGAAACTCAGGCTGCCGGATGCCACCCAGAACCATCAGTCCTCAGACTTCCCCAGTCTAGTGGGCCTCAGGCCCACTTCTCCCCCAGTCCTGGGCCCAGCACTCCCGCAGGAGCTCTGGGTGGTTCTGAGGCCCCGTCTGTTCCCAGCCTGCCCCTCTGTCACAGGCCTCCAGTAGGAGGCGGATTTCCTGGGGCTACTGCAGCAAATGACCACAAACAGGGTGTTGGAGTCAGAGAACAGCCTCTCATGGCTCTGGAGGCCAGTCTGGAGTGGAGGTGCACCAGAGGAACACCCACCCACCGTCCCTCCTAGCAGGGTCACGGGTCTCGATGCTTGGTGAATGATGTCTGCCTCCATCAGATCACAGCCTCTGCTCCAGTGTGGCCTTCTTTCCCACCTCTGGGTTACCATGTGCTCTTTTCCCTGTGCCTGTGTCCACACTCTCTCCTCCTCCAAGGCCATCCTCATGGTTAAGGCCCATCCTAAATTGAGGAACCCTCATCCGCAGGCTTCAGCTCACTCACACTCATGTAGACTGCAGGCCTGTGACACATCTGGGGCACAGCCCAGCCCTCCACGTGCCCTTCATCAGACTCCACCTGTTGGTTTCTGTGTTGTATGACTTTCGGGCAGGTGGCGATCTGCAGCCCTGGCCTGAGGAAGTCGGTGTATTACAGCTGAGATGAAGGCGAGTTGTCCAAACTGGGTCAGTCTCCAAGGCCCCGTTCCACTTTGACTTCAGAGGGACGTTTTGCAGTGAGCAAAAGGGCCAGGGTCTGTGAGGCAGGTGCTGCTCCGCCACCMGTGTGAACGCCAGTGCCGGCCTCAGAGGTGCAGGGTCAGTGCCCCGGGCGGCGCCAGCTCCACTCACTGCTGCCGGTCTGCAGGATGGTGTCGGGGTGCTAGGATCCCCAGGGAAAGGCACACACATGGGTCACATATGACTCAAGGACCAGGGCCAACCCCAGGCTGTTGCTGTGACTTATGCTCCTGCCTGGCTCAGGAAGCAAAAACAGTAGCTCTCCCTTTCTCACTTGAAGAACCAGCCCGCTCTCCCCACTGTGGGCTGAGGCAGGTGACCAGGAGGGGGAAAGGTCAGTGTTAGRAACAGCTGGAAACCAGTGTGGCCAGAGCAGTGGGCATGGGGCTCAGAGAGGGTCAGGGCTGGAGGAAGGGCTGGGAGCAGGCCAGATGACCAGAGCCTCCTGAGGACCCCGACAACCAGAGGCCAGAGCCCAGAGGAGCAGTGCCGGTGAAGGAGACCAACACAGGTAGTGCCGCCGGGCTCTAGTGGCACGTTGCAGAGTGGGGTAACTGTGCCAGGCTGGACCTACGGGTTCCGTGACAAGGAGGTCGGGGGTAGGGCCTGGAGCTGCCAGCGGAGAGTGGGGAGAGACCGCCTGGAGGGTGCTGTGTTTGGCCGTCTGACCTACAAGACCTGATGGACATGGACTCGCCCTGTGGTCGTGTTTAGGTGGAACCCTGGAGAGGGCATGTGCTCTGCCTCTTCTCCTTCCTGGCTTCTGCCACAGGATGAGGGCCCTCAACAGATGCCAGCATCTTTATCAATCTTGGACTTCCCAGGCTCCCCTAACTGGGAGAAATACATTCTGTCACTCATAAATTACCGAGCCTCAGACATTCTGTTATAGTAGCACACAGACTGGGACAGAAGCTTGAGGGACATGGGACGAGCCCCAGACAGTGGGCAGGTAGTCTTGGTGGAAAGGGAGGTGCCAACAGGAGCTGCAGGAACTTGGGATCCAGAGGCCTTTGTGGCTGAAAGAAGGAGAGAGGGAGCTGCTAAAGCCAGGCCCTGGAGCAGGTGGGTCCAGGTCACRGGTCTAGGTGACAGGTGAGTGCCAGCCCCTGGGCTGGCTTCCAGGGCAGGATTCTGGGCAAGGGGATCCAGCTATGTGTAGGGCAGAAGTTGGGCCAAGCTGTGCAAGGGCTTCCCCGGTTCTGACCCTTGCTGTTTTCGTTGTGTCCCCCAAATGATGAGGTTGTTAGAGAAAGAGCAGGAAGCAAGGAGGTGCTGAGGTGGGGAGGAGGCCCAGTGCCTTCTAGGGCCTCCGTCCTTGCTGACTGCAGCCCCAGCTGGAGGAAGGACTCTTCCAGAAGCTGGGGAGCAGGAGTCAGAGGTTCTAAGCTTTCTCTCCCAAGACAGGCCTTGGCCCCCAGCCCCTGCAGCCTTTGCCCACACCTTCCTGCCTCTGGGCTTTTTGGATGCTACCCAAGGGCAGGTCTCTCAGTAGGAGATACCGGTGCAGGTAATGGGTTGGGGTGTGGCCAGGGACACTKCCCTGGGGCCATGGCAGTAACAGCCTACTGAGGCCATTTCAAACAAGAGCAGCAACCAGCAGCATGCAGCAAGATTGCTTAGTTAGTAGAGGCCCGCTTTTGCCCATGCAGCAAGATTGCCTAGTTCTTCCTGCCCCCTCACTACTAAGGCACTTGTGACAACACCACCCTTCAAGGGTGGGTGCTTCCTGGGTGGGATGGGGGAGCACCCATGTGACAGTCCCCCAGCTCTTCCCCTGGAACCTGCCCTTGATGGACAGTGGACATGGGGTCAGAGACCGCCTATGGGGGATAGGGATCAGATGACAGGGAGGGTCCTTGTGGGGTAAGGTGCTGGGGTGGCAGGTGATGCTGAAGCGAGGCAGACTGAGGACCATGGGCTTCTCCTCTCCCAAGCCCAGGTTTTACATCCCAGGGGTCCAGTTTCTGGACAGGAGCTAGGGAGAGATGGAAAGGGATCCCTGGGGTGGGGGCAGGAGCTGAGGTGTAGGTGGCCAGCCTCAAGGTGTGAGCAGAAAGATGAAGGAGGTGGGGGGATATCAGTGGCTCCCCAGGGCCTCGGTGCCTTGGCCTACCCCTGACTCTGCTGGAGGTCCCTGGCCATTTGCTGCCACTGTGAACACAGCTATAGACCCTCCAAACTAGGGGTGGGTGTGCAGGGGCTCAGGGATCCCTCTTCTTATCTGTGTTGATGACAGAACTAGGTAGGGACATGATCCAGAGTTAGGCGTCTCCCCACATAGTCCAGTGTGATGTACACCTGGGTGCTGGCCACACTGGGAGGGAGACTCGCCTTGGGGCCCCTCCTGGTAGGCAGGAGGCCTTTGTTAGGCATGGACTTGATAAGCCCGTGAGAGGGAAATGCCAGTGATTCAGCCTCCCAGAAGTCCAGTGCTGCCCTGACCCTACCTGCAGAGAGGAGGATGCAGCCTCCAGGAACTGATCGGGACTGTCCTTCTCAGGCTTAAACTTGTCCAGTTGCTCTATCACGACATCAATGCATTTTCCATAGTAGGCCATCTTCCTGAGAAGGACCCTAAAAATAAAACATCATGGGTCACCTTCTTTGCAACTTCTAGGTGGCTAGTGTGACTGGGCAGAAGTGGCTGCAGGACCCTTACCAGCACTGATGGAAGTCCACCAGGCTGCTAGGGACCTTGAGCAATGAGGCCTGTTGATGCTAGTGGGGACCCTGGCTCAGGTCACCTGAGACCAGTTCCTGGAAAGTCCTTTTCAGGTCTCTGCTGCCCCAGTGGCYGGTGTTGGTGTGGTTGCTCCCAGGTTACCACCACTCACTAGAGCCCAAGCCCACTCCTCCTTGTACCCTGAGGCTCCCAGGCTTGTCCCAARGCCAAACTGCAGATGGGGGCCAGCCCTGGGAATGACTCAGGCCAAGAACAGGCCTTAGTCCAGCCTGGAAGGGTGGCTGCTTACTTGGCAGGCCCTGATCAGAGCAGGTGACCAAATCATAAAAGGCTATGGCAAGGAGCAGCCTGGGGTTCCTAGTTCYAACACCACCATTCTAAACACGAGGCACCCGAGACTCAGAGAGGATGCACAGCTGGTAAGGRGCCAGGTCTTGAGGGTGCTGAGCAGCCAGGCTGGCCTGGGGTTGCTCCCAGGGTGTCCTGGGAGGAGAGGCTCAAGGTGAGGTCAAGCCCTAGGAGCTGGCTCTACTGACTGCAGGTGGCCCCAGCTGTCCTCAGAGGAGGTGGACCTTGTTAGTAAAGGCCTGCTTTTGCCCATGCAGCAAGATTGCTTGGGCTTCAGTGGGACTGCTCAGGAGCTGAGCAGTAGCCAGGCCACTCCTGGGACTCCCTTCCCACCAACCCCTTTCCTCGTTCCATGACTGAGTGGCCACTGGGAGTGGTGGGCGGGTGCAGGGCCACCCTTGGCAAAGCTGGGTTGCTGATGCTCTGGGGACAATGGGGGCAAATCTTCTCCACTGGCCAGTGAACAGGAGCAGCCCCAGACTTAGATCCTCCAGGCCGGCAACTGACTGGAAAAGCAGAGTTGGAGGGCCTTCAGTGAGATGGCCGATCCCAGCCAAGACCACCAGGAGTTGACTTCCCTCTCCTGCCCCCATGAAGATGCAGAAGGCAGGAGAAAGGCACTTTGAAAATTAAGTAACAATCCCAAAATGTCAAATTCCATTTACTAGGAGATCAAGGAAGAGGAGAGAAATAAGACAAGAAATGCCAGGAATTGAAGAATGGGTTCTCTAGCAGGAGAGGACATGCTGAGTGCCCAGACAATGAAGGAGCTAAGAAATGTCAAATCAGGGAGTCCCCAGTGCTTTCAGCCTAGGCCAGGGCTGCAGAGCAGCCTCAGGCTTTGGTGACTGCCAGCCTTCAGGACAGAAGGCCCTGAACATCCCCAGGAGCAAGCCCAGGGAGGACAGATGTGGGTCCCGGATGCTGGGCCTGAACCCAAGGAAGCACCATGGTGGGGGACTTGGGGAAGGAGATACAGGTGACCCCAGGGGGATATAGGTGGCAGAAAAGGGATGCATAGCAGAAGGTCAGGCTTGGGGGCTGTCTCTAAGAGGATCCTGGGTGCTCCTTGGGTGGGGGGTATCACTGAGCACTCAGGGAAAGACACACAGATGCCTTATTGCCCAGGGCTGCACTCCAGGCCCTGCGCCTGGCCTGACTTGGGACTGTGTGCTTTGGGYTGCTCTGGGTCCTAACCCTGACTCTGCAAATGCATAGAAGCCAGCACGAGCCTCTCTCTAATCACGTCAGAGGAGCAGAATTTAGAAATCAGCAGAAATTGACTTGAAGCCTTGGTGCCAAGAACAGGCCCTGGAGACCAGGTCCTGGAAAGAGAAGCCAGTGAGCTCCTTGGGTGCTCAATGAGCCAGCCACTGGTACCAGCAGGATGCTGACCCACCCTGGCTTGCCATGTCAGGCGCCGGGTTACCTTCCCTGTGTCTGGAGACCGCAGGGCAGCCTCCATGTGGATTCCTGTGGGCGGGTGCAGCCCTGATGATGGAGGAACAGGGAGACACAGTGGCACTCTGGATGGGGTGCCAGATTAAATTGTTAAACATGCACTCCCGCAGACACCGGGATGTCATTCCAGTCAGGTGTAGCCCTAGGCAAGACAAAACATTTGTGGGAGGCTACCCTGTTCCCTCTGCTTGTCCTCCTGTCCTCCACAGCCTGCCTCCCTGAGACCTTCATGGAGCTGGTCCCACCTCACCCTCTCCAGGGAGCAGGAAACCTCTGCTCACTTAAAGGCTGCGCAGCGGAAGAAGGCAACCCCCCTTTGCCTACCAGGGTCCTCTCGCTTTCTTTGGAACTCAGGTYACCTCTAGTAAGTCCCCTTGCTGCAGGAGTGAGCAGAAAGACCAGGGAGGGCCTGCTCTTTGCTCCCCCTTCTGTGATGGGTTCGGAGCTGAATTCTGTGTCCTGTCCTTGGTTGGGTTTTGTCGTTGCTGTTGTGGGTTTGTTTTTTTTTTTCCTTCTTGGGATCAAACCCAGGATCTTTCATATGCCAGGCAAGTGTTCCATACTGAGTGACACCCTAGCCTTGGAGTCTCCTTGGGAGGGTCTGAGTAGCTCAGGCACCCAGCTTGGTAGGGATGGGTCAGGGCTTGTCCTTAGCCTCAGGCCCAGACCAGTCTTGGTGACACAGGCGGATCTGAGCAGCTGTCACAGGGCCATGAGGGGGAATGTCTAGCTCGCTGGGCCCACTTTCTTGAGAGTGCTTATGGGGTTGAAACCTGTGGTTTTCCCTCCAGGCACCATTAGGAACCAGAAGAGAGGGAGCTCAGCAGATCATCAGTCCTGGCCCTGTCTTCACCACGGTCACCCACAATGGGACACTCTTTAAAACTCCGTAGCATAATGGGGTCCTTGGGGGTACAGTGGGGTGGACCTGCCATTTACTGGAGAACACAGAGCAGGGATAAGGACAGGCACTGGCTGGGCACTGAGGGGTTTGAGTTTTATCCCTTGGGTGGGGTCTGCCTCACCAACTATGAACAGGAGAATCACTCATACTGGGGGTTCTTTCAGACATGATCCTTAGGAGAGGGACAGGGCCACTTGTGGAGCACGAAGCAAAAGGAAGCACCCTGCCTACAGCTCAAGGGTGGGCTGTGCCCATCCTGTAACTGGGAGGACAGGCTCAGCACCTGTAGCTGTGTGGATGGATGCAGGCAGGCAGGAGGCAGCCAGGGAGGTCCAGTGGAGGCTGTGCACTCCTCCTGGAGAGCTCAGTCCTGGGCAAAGACAAGCACATAGTGTCTCTGTGCCCTAGGCTCTCAGGGTGGGGGAGGAAAATGGCTGGGGTTAAGGACAGGAGAGGCCCACATACCTGGAAGGGATGAGGGAGATGTGGGCTTATGGGGGCCTTTGTGATGACTGAACCAGGGGATCTGGTGCCCAAAGCTTGGGCCCAGAGTCCCTTCCTGAGACCCGCACCTACCATGGCAGGTGCCCTGATGCCAGGTCCTAGGCATGGCTCCTGAAGCCCCCTCAGGTGGGTTCCTGCCCAGCCTGCCCTTGTCCTGTTGGTCTTTTCCTGCCGTTGACCCTAGCCCTGCAGGGCCTGCACCCTCATGAGCTGGCATAGTTCGCGGGCCCTCATTCCACTTTTGCTTGCTCCTCAGTGGAAAACAACCCAGGCAGCCCTATGGGTGGGGGGCTCCAGAGAGCCCCTCTTTCTCAGGTTCCCTGCTCCTAGTTATTCCTGCCTTGGCAGCAGAGATAYTATCTGGTGGCCTCCTGGGAGAAGCTCTGAGGAGACACCCATTTACATGATTTGCTGTCTGTACCTCAGCAAAATCTTGGCTTTTCTCAGACTAGTAGACAAAAGCAGACCAAGAGGGTCAACAGCAAGGGCTCGTCTTCACCCCATATCCTCCTCTAGCAGCACCCCCTCACGCTTGGTCACTTGTGCTGGTGGGAATCCTTTTCTAGGGCCTCGTTGTGAGATGGCACAGAACATGTCCGTCCACAAGAGGCCTGCCTAGCCTGGCCTTAAGCCCACTCCCTAGACTTCCCAGGGCAGTGTTCCTGAGGGCCTGTAATAGTGGGAAAATAGTAGGGGACCCCAAGTTTTGGGCCTSAGCTGCAGGAGTGGGTGAGGTCTGGGGAGGCATGGCTTCAGGAATCCATTCGTCCACTGCTAATAGACCCTAGGTTGTCAGCTGCCGTGGTCCAGATGGATCTTCTCAGCATGTCCCAACTCCTTCACAAACCGAGGTCACCATCCTGGGGCCCTCCTCACCCTGCCCTGACCACTTGGGTCCTTTAATGGCTTAGAAGTTCCTCCACACATGGCCCCTGAACCTCAAACAAGCCTTCCCTTTCTCTTTTCTTTGACAAACTCCTAGATGTCCCTCAACACCCAGCTCAGATATCAACACCAGAGAGGTCTGCTTCCTCTCCACTCCCCCCCCTCCTGCAGGTCTCCTGGAGGCCATCTAAACACCCACTGCAAGCACTGAGCACCACAGAAGGGGCCCTGCTTCTCCACCTGAGTCCTGGCCCTTACCCCAGGACTGGCACTTCACCAGTACCCAGGAACATCTKTGGAATCAATGCTGAGTGTGACACAAAAAGGACCAAGTCCTTAAACTGTGCCCTGAGTTTGAATCTGAAAGATGGCTCTGCAGAAATAAGACCTACTCAATGGTCATATTACATTCTTTTTAAAAATAGATGTTTTTAAACCTTTACTCACATGGATTCTATAGTGCAATAGAGTTCAGGTGTTCTATCTCATCCAATTGGGAGATAAATGCCACAATAACGTTTTCTAAGGAAGTAAGAGAATAAAACCCCGATGGTCTCAGGTGCCCCTGTTCATGCAAGCACTCGCCAATCCAAAGTGGACCTGGAGGGAAAGAACTGGAAGGAGTGAATGGATGCACCAAGCAGAAGGCAAGAAGGGGTAAGAGGGGCTCCTCTGGAGCCCAGCCCAACTCAGGCCCTCCGCTCTCGTCGCACCACTCCGCTCACTGACAGGCTGTGTTCCAGGGCAGGCCCTGCACCCCACACCTGGCACAG